CCTGTAATACCCTTTATCATGATAAAAAACACTAAACGAGGAACAGAAGAAAACCTTCTCAACCTGATAAAGGACATCTATGAAAATCCCACAGCTAACATGATACTCAATGGTGAAAGACTGAAAGCTTTCCTCCTCATATCAAGAACAAGACAAGGATGTCTGCTCTCACCACTTCTATTCAACATAAATTCTATTCAACATCAAGTTCTAGTCACCACAACTAGGCAAGAAAAAAAATAAAAGGCATCCATAAAGGAGAAGTAGTAAAACTTTCTCTATTTGCACATGACACGATCTTGTTTGTAAAAAAATCCTAATGAATCCAGTAAGAAAGTACTAGAATCAATAAATGAGTCCTGCAGAGTTACAGGATACAAAATCAATATACAAAAATCAATTGTGTTCTATATACCAGTAATAAATTATCCAAAAATGAAATCGGGAAAACAATTCCATTTGCATCAGAAAGAATAAAACACTTAGGAATAAAAAAAATTTTTTTTAAGGAGAGAGCACAAGCAGAGGGAGAGGGAGAAGCAGGCTCCCCACCGAGCAGGGAGCCCCAAAGCAGAACCTAATCCCAGGACTCTGGGATCATGACCGGAACCAAAGGCAGACACTTAGCTGACTGAGTCACCCAGGCGCCCAGAAATAAAATTTTTTAAGATTTATTTTTTAATTTTAATTTTTAAAAGATATTATTTATTTATTGAGAGAGAGAGAGAGAGAGCGAATGCGCCGGGGTAGGGAGAAGGAGATAGAGAATCCTCAAGCAGACTCCCTGTTGAGAGCAGAGCCCAATGCAGGGCTCAACCCCAGGACCTCAGCTGAAACCAAGACTTGGCCGCTTAACCAACTGAGCCACCCAGCATGCCTACTTAGGAATAAATTAAACCAAGGAGGTGAAAAATTTATACGCTGGAAACTACAAAAACACTGCCGAAAGATGTTTTAAAAGACCTTAACAAATGGAAAAACATCCCATGTTCATAGATTGGAAGACTTAGTGTTAAGATAGCAATACTTCCCAAACAGATGTACCAGTCCAATGCAATTCCTAAGAAAATAACAGCCACCCTTTTCGCAGAAATTGGTGAGCTGACTCATAAGGAATCTCAAGGGACCTCAAATAGCCAAAACCATCTTGAAAAAGAAGAACAAAGTTGGAGGACTCACACTTGCTGATTCCAAAACTTTACTACAAAGCTACAGTAATCAAGATGGTGTGGGTACTGGTCTAAGGACAGACATATAACCATGCAAAGAAGACAGAGAACCTAGAAATAAACCTTCATACAATTGACTTTTGACAAGGGCATCAAGTCAATTCAATGGGGAAAGAATGTTCTTTTCAATAAACAGTGCTGGCACTAAAGGATACCCATATGCAAAAGAGTAAAGTTGGACTCTTACCTTTGACCATATACAAAAATTAACTCAAAATGATCACAGGCATAATCTTCATGACATCGGATTAAGCAATGGTTTCTTAGCCATGAGATCAAAAGCACAAGTAACCAACAAAAAAGTAGTGGACCTCACCAAAATTAAAACTGTTCGTGCTTTAAATGACACTAAAAAGAAAGTGAAAAGACCACCCACAGAATGGGAATAAAATTTTGTAAATCATATATCTGATAAGGGTCTAGTATCCAGAATATGTAAAGAACTCTACAACTCAACAATAAAAAGAAAAAGAACCCCAACTGGGCAAAGGATTTGAATAGACAATCCTCCAAAGAAGATATACACATGAAAAAAGCTCACATTATCACTCATTACGGAAATGCAAATCAAAACCACAATGATAGCTACTTCATACCAGTAGGACAGCTATAAAAAAAAAAGAAAACAAAACAAAAACAAAAAAATAACAAGTATTGGTGAGAAACTGGAACCCTCATACATCGTTGGAAGAATGTAAAATGCTGCTGTGATAAACAGTCAATGGTTCCTCAAAAAGTTAAACTAGAATTACATATGACTCAGGAATTCCTCTCCCAGGTATTTACCCAAGAGAACTGAAAACATATAGCCACACAAAAACTTGTATGCAGATGCTCATAGCAGCATTATTCATTATATCAAGGGGAAACAACCCAAATGTCCATAATCAAAATGTGGTATAGCCATGCAATCGAGTATTATCTAGCCATTAAAAAGGAAAGACGTACTGACCCACACTACAATATGAATGAGTTATGAAAATATGTGCTAGGAAAGCCAGACAAAAAAGGCCACACGTTCCAAGTCCAGTTACATGAAACGTCTAAAACAGGCAAATCTTCAGAGACAGAAAGTAGGTATTTGTGACTGCCAGGGGCTGGGGGAGAAGCAGGAGTGGGGAATGGGCAGTGACTGCTAATGAGTGTGGGGTTTCTTGTTGAGATGATGGAAACATTCTGAAATTAGATAGTGGGGACGGTTACACGACTTTGTGAACATACCAAAAACCACCGAATTACATTCTGTAAAAGGGTGAATTTTATGATACGTTAGTATCTCAATTTAAAAAACTGATTAGGAAAATAGGAACCGAAATACAGCTCACAAAGGTCACACAGTAAAGCCATACGTTTTTCTTTAAAAAAAAATGGGAATTGCAACTGAAATTTATTTATTCTCACTTTACATATAACTTGAAAAAAATCTCAAAGCCCATAGTGTATTAAAAACTTCCTATTATGGGTAATAACACTGATAGACAAACATACTGACAGGAAGGTTAAAAAAAAATGGCTAAAGAACTTGAAAGCAATAGTATGGGGCCACTTACTAAGGCTAAATTGGTCTACGTACTTCATTATGATCTGGCAGTCTCACTAATACACAGTGTATGTTTATAGTAAAGAAAATGAGGATGATGATTAAAATTAGAGCTAACCCACTTATTACTTTCATTGTGCCAATCACCACTCTAAGTACTGAACATTGACTCACTCATTTAATAACTCCCAACAACCCTACAAAGAAAGTACTACTGTTAGCTCATTTTACAGATGAAGAAACAGGGATCACAAAGCTAAGTGGCAAAATTAAGATTCAAACGCAGGCTTCAGAGTCCATCCTCCTAACCAGTACACAATACTGTCTCTCAGGGATGAACAATCCATCGGAAAAAAAAATGTTAAATAATGTTCAGTATGCTCTAAAACTGGAAAATCTACAATTTTTATTTCACTGTAAAAGTGCTCTTTAAAAACAACAACAACGGGCGCCTGGGTGGCTCAGTTGGTTAAGCGACTGCCTTCAGCTCAGGTCATGATCCTGGAGTCCCGGGATCGAGTCCCGCATCGGGCTCCCTGCTCAGTGGGGAAGTCTGCTTCTCCCTCTGACCCTCCTCCCTCTCATGCTCTCTGTCTCTCATTCGCTCTCTCTCAAATAAATAAATAAAATCTTAAAAAAAAAAAAATTTACATAAAAACAACAACAACAACTCTTCTATAGCAGCCTATTATCCACGGGAGAATGTCTAGAGGTAAAAGAACCCTTACATCCTGACTCCCATCTGTATTCACAGCTCACTTGTCTTTCCCAATTCTAGCCAAACCAGACTGCTCATGTTCCTTCAACATACAGAGCCTGTGCATGTTCATGCACCTGTGTTAAAGGCCTTTTTTTCACTTCTCTGATTAGAAAATTTCTACTTGCCTTCTACAACCTAGCTCACATCACACTTCCTTTGTGCCACATTCCCTGACACCACAAGGCAAACCTGTGTTCACGCAGCCTTTTGCACCTCTCTCTATTAAAGCATCCACCTCAGTACATCATAATTAAAGGCTTCACTCCCCTTTTCACCTCCTACAGTTAGAACCTAGTTTGCTGTAGATGCTAAATTAAATTTTTTAATTAAAGTAAATAAAATTATTATTTTTTAAATTCAGCAATACAAAATCACCAGTTAGCTACGATCCACATAGTCAGGTTTTATCTTAACAAAAGTCATAAAATTTAAATATTTAAAAAGAATAAAGTTCATTTTCATATAAACTAGAAGTTACAAAGGTTCCTACAGATTGAATTCAGTCACCAGAAATCTTCTTAATGAGAAAAAACTGACACTCTGGACCAAACCTGAGTAATCTGTCGTAGTAAACTTATGAATAATGACGTGGGTAAAATTTTAACTAAGAGATGAGGGTTCCCAGAATCTAAGTCAACAGAGAAAGGAGTGGTAGGTAGGCTATAAGGATACCATTTAGTAAGTTAGTGCTTGAGTAATACATGCTTACTTAATGCCCTCAAAAATTACTGTTCTTCCTAATTCATGTCACTCCTTGAGAGTTAATTTACTACCTACAAAGTTCTAGTGGAATTTACGTTTTATTACTTGTCCTAGATGAGTTAATATTTCCAACTGGACCAAACCAAATATAACCATATCTACAATCAACCCATTTCTCTCCCAGTATATAATTTAAAATAGCCAAACTAATAACATATGGGACACCCAATACAGTAATAAGTATCAAAGAATACATAGGAGTCTGTCAAATATTTACTGAATTAACTACATTTGTCAATATCTATTCTACTGGAAAAGTTACCTACAAAAGAAATGTCATTTCACTTTGTTTTATTTAAAAAAAAAAAAAAGGGGGGGGTTACCTAACTATTATTATCCCATACTTTTGACTTCCCTAAATAAGCTACAGCTCTGGCAAAATCTGCCCTCTTATTGTTGACTCCCAACCTCAGCTTAACCTCGACCTTCTTTCAAACTCTCACCTATCCCCAAACTTTCATGATCTTTGGGGTCCCCAATGGACCTTCTGCCTCCAATTCATCTTCATGACTAAAAGGCACTGACTTTCCAGAGAGGGGTTCAACACCCTCCAAGGCAACGTTTGATATAAAACCCACCTTTAAATCAAATGTCAACTTTGCATTTTCGTTGACCTAAAAATTCAAACCAAGTCACAGCTACTTCTAAGTGTTACCCATTTAGGCAGTCACAGACCTGAATAAATATTTGTGTAGTATTTTGCCATTACCTAGGCTGAGAATTCTCCTCATACATTCTTTCTTTCCCCTCCTTGAAGAGGCTTATGGTCTGCTTAGTTTTCTTCATCAAATTCTCCATGAACACCCTAAAATACTCATTTTCTCCAAGTGTCTCCATCTTCCCCTCATATCTTGACAAGACAGTGCGGAGATGCTGGTAGGTATCTGGCAGCAGGTCTAAGATATAAGGTGGGCTATTCTTTAGCGCCAGCTTTGGGTTCTGACACAATCGCACCACCTGCAACAAATGGAAAAGAAGGGCTATTACTTGGAGGATCTTAAGGACGATTTCCTTTTTCAATTTAAAAAAAAGTTATAAAATATGTGCTCTGTTGCAGAAATATTAAAAAATGCACAAGACCATAAGAAATGATCCATAACACCCCTGCCCATGGGCAATTAGTTTGCATTTTTAGTGGTTCCCCTAGGAGGGTGGGTTCTTTAAAACCATATGAGAGACTAATGGTCCAGAAATCACATAGCAGACAAGGGGGGCCGGGCTGGCTCAGTCGGTGCACTGTACGACTCTTGATCTTGTGGTTGTGAGGCTGAGCCCCACGATGAGTGTAGAGAGGACGTAAAAATAAATCTTAAAAAAAAGAAAAGAAATTACATAGCAGACTAAACATTGCAGGGGGGAGGAAGACATTGCACTAACACCTAAAAAGTGCTAGATGAACTAGGACAAGTTCATTTTAAATGCATGGCTCACCCCACAACACAATAAAAAAAATTCCCAAGGACAGACATAAAGAACATGGCTGGGGCGCCTCGGTGGCTCAGTCGTTAAGCGTCTGCCTTCGGCTCAGGTCACGATCCCAGGGTCCTGGGATGGAGGCCCACATCAGGCTCCCTGCTCCACGGGAAGCCTGCTTCTCCCTCTCCCTCTCCCCCTGCTTGTGTTCCCTCTCTCGCTGTGTCTCTGTCAAATAAATAAATAAAAATCATTTAAAAAAAAAACAACAACACTGCCGCCCCGGGAAGTAACGTAGAGTCCAGAGTTGTAACAGCCACTAGGGTCTGGGAGCAGAGGGGCCTTGAACCCCACGGAGCTCAACTGAGATACCATTCCTTGCCATAAAAAGAACCTCCAGCCCCCACTCTGGGTGTAGAGAATGCTTAAAAAAAAAAAAAAAAAGGCCTCCAGAATTTGCCTAATAATTCTTTTTCCCATATTTTACATTCAACTTCTGAGTTCTTATGTTTTATGTAGGTTTCTTTTAAAGAACATGTAGCAGTATTTTTAAAACCCAATGTAACAGTCTTCGTTTTTAAACTAGTGAGTTTAGTACATTTTATATTTGTTAATAATGACTAATAAATTTGTATTTATTCCTACCATCTTATTTTGTATTTTCCACTTACATGGATTTTTCTGTGTCTGGGAAAGAGAAATAAATTAGTGAAAGGGAAAAGTCTAGAAACAGACCCACACATATATAGGCCCTTCACTTATCACAAAGGAGTGGTCTTTTCCAAAAGTAGTAGTGGAACAATTGGGTATCCATATAGAAAAAATAAACTAAGCCCTCACCTTACACTATACCAAAAAACAAAACACCATACATATAGACACACACACACACACACACAAAACCCCAAAAAAGTAGACCTTGGGTTATAAACCTAAATGTGAAAGGCAGATCTATAAAGCATAGAAAATAATATAAGAAAATTATCTTCACTACAGAGAAAAAAATTTTTTTTTTTTTAAAGATTTTATTTATTTATTTGACAGAGAGAGACACAGCGAGAGAGGGAACACAAGCAGGGGGAGTGGGAGAGGGAGAAGCAGGCTCCCCGCAGAGCAGGGAGCCCGATGTGGAACTCGATCCCAGGACCCTGGGATCATGACCTGAGCCGAAGGCAGTCGCTCAACCGACTGAGCCACCCAGGCGCCCCAGAGAAAATTTTCTTAAACAGGACTATAAAAAGCATTAACCACACACATAAAAAAGTTAATTAAAATTCTCCTACTTCAAGATACCCTATAAAGAGTAAAAACACATGTACAGAATCAAAAATATTTGTAATACATATATATATCCAAATGTATATATCCAGAATATACAGGCATACTTCAGAGATACCGCAGGTTCGATTCCAGACCACCACAATAAAGCACTTATCTCCATAAAGTGAATCAAATGAGTATTTTGGCTTCCCAGTGCATATAAAAGTTGTGTTTATACCATACTGTAATCTATTAAGTATACAATAGTAGTAGGTCCTAAAAAAACGTACATACCTTAATTAAAAAATACTTTATTGCTACAAAATGCTAAGCATCATCTAAGCTTTTAGTGAGCTGTAACTTTTTTGCAGTGGAGGGCCCGGCCTCAATGTCCATGGCTGCTGACTAATCAGGGTGGAGGCTGCTGAAGGCTGAGGTGGCTGTGGCAAGTTCTTAAAATAAGACAAGAGTGAAGTCTGCTGCCTCGACTGACTCTTCCTCCCACGAGTGAGTTCTCTATAGCATGTGGTGCTATTTGATAGCATTATACCCACAGTACAAAGTCTTTCAAAATCTTTCAATCCTCTCAAAGCCTGCCACAGCTTTATCAATTAAGTTATGTAGTATTCTAAGTCTTTTGTCATCACTTCAACAATCTTCACAGCACCTTCCCTAGAAGTAGATTCCATCTCAAGAAACCACTTTGCTCATCTGTAAGAAGCAACCCCTCATCCGTTCCAGTTTTATCATGAGACTGTAGCAACTCAGGCCCATCTTCAGGCTCCACTTCTGATTGTAGTTCTCTTGCTGTTTCCACCACATCTGCAGGTACTTCCTCTGCTAAAGTCTTGAACCCCTCAAAGTCATACATGAGGGTTGCAATCAAATTCTTCCCAACTCCTGTTAATGTTGGTATTTTGAGCTCTTCTCATGAATCACTAATGTTCTTAATGGCATCTAGAATGATGAATCCTTTCTAGAGGTTTTCAATTAATGTTGCCTAGCTCCATAGAGGAATCACTATCCACGGCAGCTATAGCCTTATGAAATGTATTTCTTGAATAATAAGACTTGAAAGTCAAAATGACTCCTTGATCCATGGGCTACAGAATGGATGCTTTGTTAGCAGACATGAAAACATTCATCTCAGGGCGCCTGGGTGGCTCAGTTGGTTAAGCGACTGCCTTCGGCTCAGGTCATGATCCTGGAGTCCCTGGATAGTCTGCTTCTCCCTCTGACCCTCCCCCCTCTCATGTGCTCTCATTCTCTCTCTCAAATAAATAAATAAAATCTTTAAAAAAAAAAAAAAAAAGAAAGAAAGGAAACATTCATCTCATTTTACATCTCCATCAGAGCTCTTGGGTGACTAGGTACAATGTCAATGAGCGGTAGTATTTTGAAATAAATTTTCTGAGCAGTAGGTCTCAACAGTGGGCTTAAAATATTCAGTAAACCATGCTGTAAATAGCTGTGCTATCATTCAGGCTTTGTTGTTCCATTTATAGAGCTCAGGCAGAGTGGATTTAACATAATTCTTAAGGGCCCTAGGATTCTGGAGTGGTAAATGAGGACTGGCTTCAAGTTAAAGTCACCAGCCGCATGAGCCCCTAACAAGAGAGTCAGACTGAACTTTGAAGCCAGGCTTTGATTTCTCTCTAGATATGAAAGTCCTAGATGGCATCTTTGTCCAATAGAAGGCTGTGCAGTCTACACTGAAATGTCTGTTGTTCCGTGGAGCCACCTCCACTATCTGAGCTAGATCTTCTGGAGAACTTGCTGCAGCTTCTACATCAGCACTCGCTGCTTCAACCTGCACTTCTACGTTATGGAGACGGCTTCTTTCCTTAAACCTCATGAACCCGCCCCTGCTAGCTTCACGCTTTGCTTCTGCAGCTTCCCCACCTCTCTCAGCCTTCACAGAATTGAAGAGAGTCAGGGCCTTACTCTGGATTAGGCTTTGGCTTAAGGGACCGTTGGGGCTAATTTGATCTTCTATCCAGACCACTCAAACTTTCTCCTCATAGGCAGTAAATGTTTCGCTTTATCATTCATGTGTTCACTGGAGTAGCTAGCGCTTTTAACTTCCTTCAGGAACTTTTTCTTTGCACTCAACTTGGCTAACTGGTGCAAGAGGTGTAGCTTTCAGCCTGTCTCAGCTTTAGAGGTGCCTTCCTCACTAAGCTTAATCATTTCTAGCTTTTGATTTAAAGTGAGAGATGTGCAATTCTTCCTTTCACTTGAATACTTAGAGGCCAATGTAGGATTATTAATTGTCCTAATTTCAATATTGTTGTGTCTCAGGAAATAAGAGAGGCCAAACGAGAGGGAGAGAGATGGGGAAGAGCTGGTCAGTAGTCAGAACACAGAACATATACTGATTATGTTTGCCATTTCAGGGGCTCAGTCGTTAAGCGTCTGCCTTCGGCTCAGGTCATGGTCCCAGAGTCCTGGGATCAAGCCCCACATCGTGCTCCCTGTTCAGCTGGAAGCCTGCTTCTCCCTCTCCCACTCCCCCTGCTTGTGTTCCTGCTCTCACTGTGTCTCTCCCTCTGTAGAATAAATAAATAAAATCTTAAAAAAAAAAAAAAAGTTTGCCATTTCAGGGGTGCCTGGCTGGCTCAGTCAGTAGAACATACAACTCTTTTCTTTTTTTTTTTTTAAGCATACAACTCTTGATCTTGGGGTCTTGAGTTCAAGCCCCACATTGGGTGTAGAGCTCAATTAAAAAAAAAAAAAGTTCACCATTTCTCATGGGTGTGGTTCGTGGTGCCCTAAAACAATCAGAATAGTAATATCAAAGATTACTGATCACTGTAACAAACATAAATGAGAAAGTTTGAAATATTGGAAGAATTTACCATATGGCGCAAAGTGAGCAAATGCTGTTGGAAAAATGGAGAGACTTGCTTGAATTTGTAAAGAGGCTTGCTTCAATTTGTAAAAAATGCAGTATGTGCAAAGCACAATAAAATGAGGTATGCCTATAATTGCTTCTGTGCCATTTACTTTCTTCTCTCCTTCTGGAACTTCAATGACCTAATCCATAAGAACTTTTCACCATGTTCCATGTTTTTTACACTCTTTTCTGTCTTCTCCATCCTTTGCCTCTCAGTGGCTTAGTCTGGATTTATTCCCTAATTTATCTTTCACTTCACTAATTTTCTCTTCAGCTGTATCTACACTGTTAAACCCATTCACGGGGTTCTTAATAATCAGTTGTGTTTTTCAGTTTCAGAATTTCTATTTCAAATGTCAAAATTATCGATTTTGTCTTTAGTTCCTCT